GAACCAGACATGGAACAATGGACTGCTTCAAAATTGGGAAAGGAATATGTCAAGGCTGTATATTGTCACTCTGCTTATTTAACTTATGTGCAGAGTACATCATGAGAAATGCCTGGTTGGATGTAGCTCAAGCTGGAATGAGGATTTCTGGGAGAAATATCAATAACCTCAGATATGCAGATGACACCACCCCTTTGGGAGAAAACAAAGAGGAACTTTAAAGAGCCTCTTGATGAAGATGAAAGAGGAGACTGAAAAAGCTGACTTAAAGCTCAGCATTCAAAAAACTAAGATCATGGCATCCGATCCCATGACTTCATAACAAATAGATTGGGAAAAAATGAAACCAGTGACAGACTTTATTTTCTGGGCTTCAAAACCACTGCAGACAGTGACTGCAGCCACAAAATTAAAAGATGCTTGCTCCCTGGAAGAAAAGCTATGACAAACCTAGACATTATATTAAAAGCAGAGACATCACTTTGCCAACAAAGGTCCATATAGTCATAGCTATGGTTTTTCCATTTATCACATATAGATGTGTGAGTTGGACCATAAAGAAGGCTGAGCACTGAAGAATTGATGTTTTCAGACTGTGGTATTCAAGAACTCTTGAAAGTCCCTTGGAATGCAAGGAGATCAAACCAGTCAATCCCAAAGGAAATCAACCCTGATTATTCATTGGAAGCACTGATGCTAAAGCTGAAACTCCAATACTTTGGCCACATGATGTGAAGAGCCAACTCATTGGAAAAGACCTTGATGCTGGGAAAGTTTGAGGGCAAGAGGAGAAGGGGGCAACAGAGGATGAGATGGTTGGATGGCATCACTGACTCAATGGATATGAGTGTGAGAAAACTCTGGGAGATAGTGGAGGACAAGGAAGCCTGGCATGCTGCAGTCCATAGCACTCAAAGAGTTGGACACAACAAAGTGACTGAACAACAACAATTATTATGATAATAGTTACAAATACTTCTCAAACAACCACCATGGTGCATCATTGCATTTACATAATTTTCTTGTATAATTTTCAGAGCTACTCTTAAGCAGTAGGTGCCATTATTATATTGATCTTTTACTTAGGAAATAGATTCAGAGAGATATCTGTGACTTATTCAAGTTCACACAGTAAGTGAAGTAAGTTGGGTGGTCTTAAGAGCCTGCATCCTAAACACTAAGCTATACAAATGTCATGAAAGGTTACTACTGACTGACTCATGGCTTTGGCTAGTTTTTCCTGGGTTTCCCTCATTTTCTATCTCTAAGATTTTAAGTGATATCTGTTATTTTCTGAACAAGACCTATTTTGGTCACCTCACTTCCACCCATGTTCAGAGTATTCAACACATTTTCTGACTATTACTTCAGGGACAGAGAGAGAGGTTTCTATAACAAGTCTTCTGGGGCCTGAAGATTCATAAAATCCAAACAAAATTCAAGGACAAAAAAATTACAAATTGCCATATTATGACAAAGAGTTAAAAACTTTAAATCAAAATTATTCTAGTAGAAATATGGGCAAACCATATGATTCACGAAAGAAGAAATCTAAGTAAGCAATCAGGTGAAAAATGAAAATCACTAGGAAGCAAAGACACAAAAGAAAACATGCAATATCACTTTCTAGCAATTGAGAAAATCCCGAAAAATTATACATCCAGTACTGATGAGGAAGTATAAATTGATGTAATAATGGTAGAGGATATTTGGCAATATGTAATTTTAAAAAACATAAAAAACGATCATACTTTTACCTAGTAGTATCATTTCTAGGAACTGAAGGAAACAGATATGACCAAAGATTTTTGTAAGACTGTGCATCATCCATGAAAAGAAAATACAGTGAAGACCTAAATGTAGGATGGGATACTATAAACCTCCTAGAGAACACAGGCAGAACAATCTGACATAAATTGCAGCAAGATGTTTTTGGATCGGTGTCCTAGAGTAAAGGAAACTAAATAAACAAGTGGGACCTAATTAAAAATTTTTGCATCAGTTCATTTCAGTCTCTCAGTCATGTCAAACTTTTTGAGATTGCATGGACTGAAGGACGCCAGGCCTCCCTGTACATCACCAACTCCCAGAGTTAACCCAAACTCATGTCCATTGAGTCAGTGATGCTATCCAACTATCTCATCCTCTGTCATCCCTTTCTCCTCCCGCCTTCGATCTCTCCCAGCATCAGGGTCTTTTCCAATGAGTCAGTTCTTTGCATCAGGTGGCCAAAGCATGAGTATTCGAGACTAATTTCCTTTAGGATGGACTTGTTGGCTCTCCTTGCTGCCTTGAAAGTCTTCTCCAACACCACAGTTCAAAAGCATCAATTCTTCGGCGCTCAACTTTCTTTGTAGTCCAACTCTCAGGTCCATCCATGACTACTGGAAAAACCATAGCTTTGACTAGACGAACTTTTGTTGGCAAAGTAACGTCTCTGCTTTTTAATAAGCTGTCTAGGTTGGTCCTTTTCTNATTAGCTCTAGTAATTTTCTGGTAGAGTCTTTAGGGTTTTCTATGTAGAGGATCATGTCATCTGCAAACAGAGAGAGTTTCACTTCTTCTTTTCCTATCTGGATTCCTTTTACTTCTTTTTCTGCCCTGATTGCTGTGGCCAACACTTCCAAAACTATGTTGGAGTGGTGAGAGTGGGCACCCTTGTCTTGTTCCTGATTTTAGGGGAAATGCTTTCAATTTTTCAATTAGGTGCCATTATTATATTGATCTTTTACTTAGGAAATAGATCCAGAGTGATATCTGTGACTTATTCAAGTTCACACA